CGCTCTCCAATGTGGATTTTCGGGTTCGGCGTAGCGAATATGCCCGGGTAGCACAAAACCTCAAAATCGACTTTTTGGGTGGACATGCCTTTAAAGGCAGCGCCTCAGCAGAATGACAACTAGGGATACTCGTCCTTTTCGGTTCTCCTGGATGAGCTCAATCAAAGACTGTTCTTTACAGCTTCAAAAGATACCAGTAACCCGCTTTTCCAGGCGTAGAAAGTGCCATTTGGGCGGACGGCGGATGCTTGCCCTCTAGAGCGCGATTGGTTCGTGAGTGGAGACAGCGTACCCATCTCGGCGGCTATTGGATATTAGCTAGGAGCCACTTTCGCGACCCGCCCAAACAGCACTTTCACGTCTGGAAAAGCGAGTTATTGATACTATCGAAGCTGCAAAGCACAGTCTTGGACTCAGCTCATCAGGAGGAACTATAACGATGATTATTTCAAAGGTGTCCTTCTGCCGAGCCGCTCTATGAGTTAAGGGCGGAAATGTTGAAAAGTTCTCCATGATGAAGGGAGAGTCTGGATAGTTAATTATTTCAGATAATGAGGAATTGTCATTGCTTTGAAGTCAAAAAATGTGATTTTGATGTTGAGGTCTTTCAGGCTTATATAAGTGGAGCAAAAACACCTACACCGATGCTTACTTTGATGGAGAAGGAGTTCCCGTCATTGTTGGAAAAGCAGTTCCCGTCGTTAATGGACAAGCAGCATCCATCTCTATTGGAGAAGCCGTCCGCGTCGTTATGGAGAGGCAACTCTTAGATTTTGACTAGAATTTTCTTGGCATTTTTTGTCAAACTATCGAAATTCGTGGATAGACTGTCTCAAGTTTGTTACTGTTATCGTCGTTATTGTTTGATTGTCATTTGGATTCGTGCCATAGTTATTCACTTTGCTGTAGTATACCCAGTGTTACATGGCACATCGGTGAACTTGTTAGCGTTATGTTGTTCCCTCCAACATTCACTTGTTAATCTCTTCGGTGAGTTTCATAGTGCAGGAATGAGGTTTTTTTTGCATATGCTGTGTTGCATTTTTATCTAGAACTTTTTCTGTTATTGTTCGTAGCACCACCGGAGACTCACTTTTGTTTTCCGACCACCATTAGCTGTCTTCTAATTTTCATTCGAAACTTTGCTCATGTTTTCTATATTATCAAGGCTCATCATTCGAGAATTCCTTGTAGTGACACTATCATTTGCTGTTGCATTCTATAAACTAGAAATTCTTCCGTGTTTTTTTTTTGATGTCATTCAGTTGTTGACCTTGTTATATCTCATTTTTCATCTTTTCCCCCAGATTCCTCCAATATAGCTCTCAGTTTTGCCTTATAGAACGAACATGGCGACAACAGCCACATCAGCTTATCATGTAGCACAGCTGATCGACAAGATGTTGTCTGTCGACAAGGTATGTTTTTTCTCGCTTTTGTTCAAAGCGAAATTTTCGATGTTCTAGGATTATCGCTTCATGGCTGTGAATGATCTGATGAGAGAGTTACAAACCAATAACATGCGGCTAGATGATGATTCGGAGAAAAAGGTGGGTTTTGTATTTTGCTGCTTATGCATCTCTCATCTGCTGCAATGTGTTTTGGAGAGGAGTAATTATGTCTTTTTGTGAATGGCTCTCTCCTGCTTGAAACTGTTTTTGCATTATGTCGTCAATCAACCTCGTGATTACAGTTGATCAAATTCGACGGTCAACATAGTGCCTTTGCGGTGGTGGCAACATTTGCGGGGCAACACTTGCTCTTGAATCCCAGTAGAGTTTCTAAAATTCGGAGT